TGGCTACGTTTACACCGTGCGCTTAGTCCGTGACCTATACGATAGGTGTCTTGTTTAACCTACAGGATAAACAAGGACATCTATTGTATAGGCCGCGGCCTAAATGCACGGTGTAAACGTAGCCAATCACTTCAATATTAACACGGACGCGAACTCTTGTAAGAACGTCGGTCTTTAATAGTATCTCGTCGGTGTCTCCACTTTCCGCAGTGAAAAATAGTATCGTGTAAATATCTATAACCCATAACGTCTGTCTTGTCTTGGTCTTTTATCTACGCCGTCTACGCAGTCTACGTCTTCAGTCTGTATCGTCTGTATTGCCACGCATTTTGACGTGGTTACGTCACGATCACGAAATATTATCACGCTAATTACGGTTATCACTTCCTTTTTCCGTTGTGATAGAATCGATCTTATGCAAACAAAGGGCTCGGTAATACATACAAAACCGAGGAGATGATTGACGAACGTTGTCCCGGTTGCCACTTGTTCCTATAGTCGTAATGGTCGTAGTAATTTCACATAACCTTACCTAACCTGGGAGAGTTAATGTTTCTCTACGTTTCCCGGCGGGAATCTCGAAACATTCACACACATGCTTCTGTCGAATCGGTCTGAAAATGCCACCGAATATCCTGAAGAGCAGCTTGGAGAATGCCTCGTTCAGTATTGTATTTCAGGTATGTTGATAAAACCGGTATATCAATTTTTTTTGCAAACAACCTGAGTACTTTGAAGCATTCATTTTAATCTAAGAGTATTGATTAAAGGCACCTGATTCTATATTGACAAATGCTACGTCATACAAAATTTGAGAAAAACTTTTTACAGATATTCTGTCGCTGTATCACATTTGTTCTGAACGCATTTGTTGTTCGCCACGTTGGCCAGGCAATTCTAGGCGTCATTAATGTGAGATTACTCTTACTGGAATCTATGATACTGTTCTTATCACGCGAGCCATTCGTGAAAGCATGTCTGACTAACACGGCAGAGCATAATTGGGCCCAAGTTGTAAATCTACTGTGGCTGACGTTAGTTCACTGCGTACATGATAATTGATCATCTCAGAAACTATACTGATCAGCCCCATGAAATAAGAAGCATATAAAAATTAATGAAGTTGTAAAACTAATCGTGCTATTGAAATTAAGAAATGACGGAAAAATGTAAAATCGATCAGTTTGTCTTCTGAGAGACTCTATTCTCTTTCAGCAAAATTGTATGAATTAATTAATGTGTTTTAGAGTACCCATATGCATTGTAATGTCCTTCCTATTTGGATACATTTGGCTGTTCTTGCTCTCCACCACAGAGATATTACCACCGTACTACACATTTGCAGTTTGGGCAGTTGGACTGTCGTGTGTTATAGAATTGTCTTCCTTAGTCGTTCAATTAATCGCAAGCGCATTTCTCTTCGTTAGGCTTAAAGTAAGGCAACAGAGACAAAAGATATACAAGATTTTCAAGAGATGGGTATTTCACTATCTTTGTTCTTCCAGATAATTCTGGATACAATCATGATCGTTATTCGCACTATGACGTTTGTCCCACTAATATTATATTATCCTGAGAACGCATTACTTGCGTTCGGCATCGCTCAACTTGTTGCAGCAATATTTTATACAACTAGTCATTATGCATATTTTCATCATCATATCAAGAAGCTGAACAAGTGTTCACAGAAACGAAGAATGTCTTTGAAAGATAATAGCGACGAATATGTGATAAGGGAGTTTCCCTTTCATACTCTAGAAGATTTTTTACCTTGTCAGCTAGAAAATAATGTATGTATTATAATTGCATTGTTACATTATCGTTTTGTAAGAAAAGTACAACAGTTACTCCGTAGGATTCGTACTTTGATACAAAGTTGACTAATCTCACATGGAGCTTCTTTAGGCAAGGACTCCTAAAGCAGATTTTGACAGAAGGCGAAAGATTGATCATGACTATAATGCCAGTGTTAACGTTTACAGAACAGGTTTGTGTCAATATACAGAGTATTTCCCAAATTCGTGAATCAAAGTACTGTAGCAAGAAAGTTCTGGAAAAATTAAGTAAAAAAGTTATTCATAAATTTTTATTTTTAGCGGTAATTTTTTAAATAATGGTATAAACATGGCCAATTAGATTACGTTTAAATGGCCACCTGTCCATTAATCGCGCGTATCATATTGTAGTATTAATGAGCGTGCTGAAGTACAGGCTTCATCACTAATACTAACACTACAATACGGTATGCGTGACTCACGGTCAGGTGACCGTTTAAATATCTGTAATTAGCCATATACCCCTATTATCTAAAAAAAATTACTGCTTAAAATAAGAATTTACGAATAACTTTTTTAGACCTTTTTTTATTGTAGTATTATAATACGCAAATTTTGGGACACAGGTATACTGCAATATCATCATTAGATGCTCATTTTTTCTTTCTTTAAGGGAGTCTACGAGATTGTGAATAATATGGGTTCGCTAGCTGCTAGATTTATTTTCCGTCCAATCGAAGATAGTGGATATTTTTATTTCACACAGATGGTGAAAAGGGATAAAACGATATCTGATCAGAATCCAGTGAGCGTCTATTGCAACCTTCCATGTTTACCATAAAATTTTATGTACTTATTTATAAACTATGATATTTTCAGGTGAAAGTACAAGAGAGTGTGAATGTGTTGACACATTTGTGTTCTGTTGTTACATGTATCGGTTTGGTTGTTCTAGTATTCGGTCAGTCTTATTCGAGCCTGTTGCTCTGGTTGTACGGCGGCTCGAAGCTGATTTTACCATTACCTGTTCTATTGCTAAGAGCACACTGTCTCGCCGTATTACTATTAGGAATCAATGGCGTAACCGAATGCTACACTAACGCAACAGCCGACAATGCGACCATAAACAAGAGCAATTTGGTCATGATCTACCAGTCGATCACATTCTTGGGCGCATCGTATCTGTTTGCTACCTGGTTTGGTCCGGTCGGTTTTATTCTCGGCAACTGCGTGAACATGGGCCTGAGAATCATACATTCGGTGATATTCATTAATAAGAGACACCAGGACACAGTCTATCGTCCATTACGCGGACTAGTACCAAAGCCCATGTTCTCCACATGTCTACTCGTCGCAGCGTTCGCCACTAATTTGTCACACGTAAAGTATTCACGATGTAATTTTATATATATCTACGCTAAAATCGCACAGCGGTAAAGTAATCTCTTCCACTATTTCAGACTTACTTCTTCCCAAATGAAAAAATATTGCACCTATTAGTTGGCATAATAATGTTTATGATTGTACTTATGTCTTGGCTATATGAAAATTACGAATTAATCCAGCTTGCCACTAGCAAATGGTATGAAAGAAGAAATAAACAGAAAAAGAGCGACTAATCCTAAACCCTCGTGTAATATGAATTATTTTATTTAATATATAAATCAACTACAGGTTCATTGTAAGATCTTGTAAAATGTTAAAAGATCATATACCTATGTATAAATAATTTTTGTACAACTAGTTGAAATTGACTACAAATCCCCCTATACGATGAAAGCCACATACCTTACCTATTAAATTTCCTTTTATTAACAATTCGAGCATTTACTTAATACTTAAATATTTTTGTAAAAAAAAAAGATCGCATTTTGGATATAAATATTATAAATAAGTTTTAGTCACTTGTACAACAGTGATTGCTTCAAGTCGATATGTCTTTATATATAGCACCAACTACAGGTTCCTTACGAAGTATAATACACTGCCTGAAATTCAGTGAAGCAAATTTCCATTTTAGATTTAGAAATATTACAAAATTGTCATTTCGCTTACCTGTTATCATTTTGAAGCGATATAATTGGTGATCCGGATTTCGGTTCCAATTTTGCAACTAAATCCGCTATGGCCGCTATCAACCCGGCACTGTCGCTCGATGCATCGCCCTTAACTACAAAAGTTTACAACTTTGCGGTTTTTGTCATACGAATGCTTGAAATTTTCTCATATCTATGATTTTTTATTTGGGTCTTTATATGGGACGATTTATTACCTCCAAGACAGAGACCAGCGTGATCAGCCAAAATACAGCCAATGATTCCTTTCTTATCATGCCTATAAGATACGATAATAACTTTACTGGATAAATATACAAGACTGATTAATAACTATAGATAGATGTAATGATTAAGGAAACAAAGATGGATACACAAGTGTATTAAATAAAATTAATGCTTTAGTTTTTCATTAACTTGTATTTAGACTCATTTAATTTGATAACAATGTAAAAATTATGTTATTATAGCTATGATCAATCACTAAACTGATTGTTTTGTAGTAGTAATTTTTACTCCCTACAAAACTAGTTTAGTAATTAACCATAGCTGGAAAAATACAATTTTTACATCACAAAAAAAACAAAACCGAACCTGACCCAGATAGCAAAGCGTGTCTCAGCAAAATCGCATAAATCTGTGATTGTTTATGATTCTGGCAACTTGCCATAGATTTGTCTTCAACAATTTCGAATATACCGACATTGTAGCAACATGCAAGCAAGAATGTGTGTATGTATTGCCAGCATTTTAACAGCAAGATAGATGCATCAATGTTTCTTGTGTTGTCGACAATGTGAAAGCATTGCATGATGCTACATATTATCATGGCAACATAACGGCAGTAGTACGAATTTTGATGATGATGATTTTAAAGTTGTCGGCAAACTGTTGGCAAATTGCTACTTAAAATTATCGTATCATGAAGACATCAAGTTGTCAACAAATGAGGACTCAATTGCTGCAATTCTGCTAGTAATATATGCTTAGCAATGCATACTTAGCAAGCAATATCTCAGCAACAAGACAGACACGTTGCTATCTGGGGAGTAATATTCACAATATGATATTTATTACATGATAGAAACTCGAAAATGTTCAAAATCTTATACCGAGGAAGATTTCCTAGCCTATATGCCCCACAATGCTTACGTGTCATCCAATGTTTTCACCAAGTTTCGTTCCATCCTTGAGTCTCGTGCGACACTCGCAAAACCAATCGACACGCGAGATCCGTGGAGTTTTTCTTGCAAAATTAATTCGATGTCGAAAGGAGAGTCGACGATTGTGCTACCTGATTATCACGCAAATACTATTTGAAGTTTACGTCAGTTCGCTGATGTGACGGTATGACATGACAGATTCGCGTCTCGCGATACATCGCGCCACGTACACGTGCGCATCTGCGCACATGTACGTACCACGTGATCGCCCGTCTACCCAGCGTCGCTTAACGATCTCATTACGCGGTAACTGAACTTTGCCCTTCCTCTTCGTCGTAATTGAGCGAATTATGCGACGAATTAACTTGGGAGAGGTGTTACATTACGCAACCTGATGAAACTTTTATTTTATTCTGTTCTTTTCTTTTTATGTTTTCACTTTTAGTGCCTGATTTCGATTGGAAAAGCAAAATGATTCGTTCACAGGACGTGCGATGATCCGGGTGATCGTGTCGACGAAAAATTATTGAGGAAATCATATATATTGCGAATATCGGTATTCCTGGGACACTCGGTATAAACCATGTAAGCGCTATATACGTATCGTGCGATGGGGCCGACGTGACTTGTTCAGTGACAATCATGGCTGGTAAGTGGAGAGATGTGTACTTGTTTCTTGGCGTTATTTTGTTAAAAAATGAAATGTAAACAAGCGAAGACAACGGATTTATTATCGTTAACTTATTGCGTTAGATCAATTTATTCCAGTGAAAAATATTAATTCGTGTATTCCATAATATATCCGAACTTAAAGGAATTAAAACTCATGGGTGTTCTAAGTGAGGATGAAAGTTGCAATATATGAAAAATAAAACATTCAGAATTTAAAAAATACTCATTTTTAGAGTTATATATTAATACAAGAGAGAGAGAGAGTACCATAAAATATTATAGTTTCTTATATATATTCATTGTAACTTGAATTTGGGCAGATATTTTAATTAATGTTAAAAGTTGCAATATATAAAAAAAGATAAATTTTAAAATTTGAAGATGCAGTTGTAATCTTCTAAATATTTATTTATATACTTTTATAATTGGGAACATTAATTAAATTTGAAGGGAAAGGAAAAATATTAATAGAAATTAAATTAGAATAATTTTATTTTGCTTTCTGATGCTATTGAATTTTATAATTGTTTTATTTTAATTAATACGTAATAAAAATATACAAATTATATATTTTGTATGTTAGAAATTTTTTAATTTATGATAATAAACTATATCATTTTTTTATTTCAGAGATAAATCCTTACAAGAGTCTATTAAAATCCATTAAAATTGGATTGAAAGATTGCCAGTATTATGATGTTGGCAATTTAGGCAAAAAATATGGTAAGTTTTTTTTATTTCACATTTAATGAATAAATATTTATATATATCGGCTTTTACAGACAGATTACCATTTTCCATCCGAGTTCTCTTGGAAAGTGCTGTGCGTAATTGTGACAATTTCCAAGTAACAAAACTCGATGTTGAGAAAATTTTGGATTGGGAAAATAATCAGTCTCTTCAAGATGGAGTTGAAGTGGCCTTTAAGCCTGCGAGAGTTATATTACAGGTAAAGAAATGTCTTCAAAATTTCCATATTTTATCAAGTTTAGTCATGCGCAAAAAAAATACTTATTGCTGTTTATTAAATTACAAACAGGACTTTACTGGAGTACCGGCAGTTGTGGATTTTGCGGCAATGAGAGATGCTGTGAAGAAACTCAGTGGCGATCCTAATAAAATTAATCCAGTCTGTCCATCAGACCTTGTAATTGATCATTCGATACAGGCTGATTTTACTAGAAGGTATGGTTCATTGCTTTATCAAGTAATATACGTTTTGCTTTTTTTTTAATAATGGAGAGTTAAAGGTTATCATAAGCTAATAAAAAATAATATGGAAGATCTAATATTGCTGAAATGTTACAAGAGAAAAAAAGTTTTATGTAATGCTTGATAATATTGTGAGAGGAGATACAAATAAAAAAAATCTAAGAATCTTTTTTATTTTTGTGTTATATTGCCTATAATCTAGTTTATATAAATCTTATTACTATGCATGTTTCAGCAATGATGCTATAAAAAAGAATGAAGAACTCGAATTTGAAAGAAATAAAGAACGCTTCATGTTTCTTAAATGGGGTGCAAAAGCATTTAAAAATATGTTAATTGTTCCTCCCGGAAGCGGTATCGTGCATCAAGTGAATTTAGAATACCTGGCAAGAGTGGTATTTGATTCCAACAATCTTCTGTATCCCGACAGTGTAGTTGGTACTGATTCTCATACTACCATGGTAAATGGTCTGGGTGTACTTGGATGGGGAGTCGGAGGTATTGAAGCAGAAGCTGTTATGCTTGGTCAAGCAATTTCTATGTTAATACCAAAAGTCGTGGGATATAAATTGGAAGGTGTATTGAATCAATATGCCACGTCTACTGATCTTGTTTTAACTATTACGAAGGTAAAAATTTTCCGGGTAGACTTAGTAAAAAAAATAGAAGCTTTTTAGAAATATTTTTATTGTAATATTAAATGTTTTATATGTTTTTATAAATACAATTTTACTTATTTCTTAGGCTGTGTTCCAAAATTTACTGCCAGTACTGAAAATCCATAGTGCACATAATGTAAACTATAGATTTTCAGTACTGACAGTAAATTTTGGAACACAACCTTAATGGATAAAGTTTATACATAATAGAATATACTATATATTTTATATATAATATTAATATCATTAGTATCAATTATATAATCTTATAAACATAATATTTTACATATTTACAGAATCTTCGACAAGTCGGAGTGGTTGGAAAATTTGTCGAATTCTTTGGATCAGGCGTAACGCAGCTAAGTATCGCGGATCGTGCTACCATTTCTAATATGTGCCCGGAATACGGTGCAACTGTAGGCTTTTTTGCAGTAGATCAACAAAGTTTAGCATATCTCAAGCAAACAGGTAAAGTTTTCTCTCTCTCTATCAGTAATTATATATTTTTATAAATATCTTTTACAATGTGATGGCTTTTTAAAAATATTTTATGTAATATATAAATATATTTTTTTTTCTATACTAGGTCGATCTGAGGAACACATTAATAAGATTGAAAAATATCTTAAAAACGTACGCATGTTAAGGAATTATGGTGACCCGAGCCAAGATCCAATTTTTTCCGAGGTGGTCACTTTGGATTTGAACACTGTAGTCTCAAGTGTTAGCGGACCTAAGAGACCTCATGATAGAGTTTCAGTATCCGACATGCAAATAGACTTCAGAAATTGCCTCGTAAACAAGGTTGGTGACTCTTAAAAATTTCCGTATGAAATAGATTGTACTCACAAGCAAATCTATTTCATCTGCTGTATTCCATATTTTGTTACTTAATAAGATGAATAATAATATTAATTATATCGACAATATGTACACATAAAGCATTTGTAACAATATGATAAGGCTAGAATGCTAATATGAGCGCTTTAAAAAAGATGATTATTTAGTACATACAAGGGACGAATATTACCCAGTGACTGTAAAATGTAAGTCAAACTAGATTCTATCCATCTCATGCTGTACCTCTGTTTTGCCAGCTAGCGCTAAAATGAATTTGATCCTATTTTTTTTTCTAAAAAAAACTTGCGTGGTACTCTCTTGTTAGAAAAAAAACACGAACAAAAAATGAAAATAATCGACAGAGAACTAGGTAACTTATTACTGTGATATGATTAGCTTACATTAACATATCACAATAAAAGTCCCTTTGAACTCTGTGACTAAAAGTTATTTACTTTCACGACAATCTACAGTACTATGTGAATTTAATGTAATCAAAGGCACTCATTTTTTTATAAGATGCCAGCAATTTTTATACATCAGTTTATAATAAAGATATTCTGATATATTAATACTGCGGTAAAACAAGCTCGATAAAAATATATAGTATTTCACATGATTAGTAATAATAAACAGGGATGGAGAGACAGTATTTGAAGTACATGTATTTAAAATACGTATTTAAATACATTTTTGTATTTTGTATTTCGTATTTAAATACTTTTTTTTTAGTATTTTGTATTTTAAATTTGTAAATACTAAATACATTTAAATTATGTAAATATTTTTTTGATGAAAATTAAAATTGCATCATTGTTGATTCAACCTAAAGTGCGTTCCATTTCACGCATGATGTGCATAATATATCATTTATCCTTGTTTACATTTGGTAAACAACAAGGATAAATGATACATCATGCATATCATGCGTGAACTGGAACGCTTTTGTATTTTGTATTTAAATACAATTTTTTGAATTTTGTCCACCCTTGATAATAAATACTAACATTAAATTACTCCTGCGAAAAACATGTCTCGTGTTGCTATGTCTCGAGCATCTTTCCTTTGCTGATCTAGCTTTATGATATTTCGATACAACATATAGTTAGATCACCAAAGATAAATGAACGAGATGTGAATTAATCTTCAGGTGATATCTCTTGCCATTAAAGACGAGTATATGATCTAGTCACAAATTTTTTTTTCTCATTTGTGTACCAGTCACATACTCGACCCTAACAACAATACTTAGTAGAGCGATATGCACGTAGCTATAAACGTTAGATGTACAGGGATTTGATATTGGATGCAATCATCACCCGGTGAAGTTTCCATTACAACTTTACCGGATACGATCGCATCCAATAGTATAATCCTCTTATACAATGCTGATGTATCAATCGAATCCATGAATCCTGTACAATTTCTTTCCTAAATATAAAAATATTTCTCTTTCAAATATTGAAGAGATATTGAGGAAAATTCAGCTATTTCAGATTATTTCAGAAAAATTGAGAACGATTTCATTTATTGAATATTTCTTCAAATATCCAAAGCTGTTATATATTATGATAATTGTGTATATATATTATGATAATTATTTATTGATAATGTTTCCAATGATTGTCAAACTTTTTTCATTTTTGGAATCATAGAATACAATGCTAACAAACTACAATATTTTCACATAGCAAATCAGATGAAGAAGATTACACTAACAAAGAATTCGATATCTGAACTTACTCGTTTATAATTCACCAACAGTAAATGGATTTTCACGACTACTAACTCTTGTATTCATCGAGCCTTTTATAGAAACCTTCATCTCTATTTCTGGCCTCCTGCTTCTGAACTTC